TGGCATGGCTTTGAAGCACTTTCAGCTCATGTTCTTGGAACCCTGGCCATCCACAATTGTAATCACCTGGAGGAACTCTCAGCTTGGAACTCCAAGGCAGACAATGTTAATGCCAACAATGAAGCAGCACTCAGAGTTGAGAGAACTCAGAACTTGAAGTCACATGGTTGGAGTTTAAATCCCAGTCTACCCTCTGAGTAGTTGTGTGACTTTAGGTAAGTCACTTACTCTCTCTGAGCCCATCTGTCCATAGTATTAGTTCCAACAAAAGCATGATTTCCTAGCTAGGCATGGTGGCTCATGTCTGTAAGTCTAGTACTTTGGGAGGCCAAGGCGGGTGAATTGCTTGAGGCCAGGAGTTAGAGACCAGCTTGGGCAATATAGTGAGATACTGAAATAAAAACAATATAAAAACAAATAAAAAGGAATAAAATTTTTCTTGCAGAATGTATGCAATTAACAACTATTTACAGAGCAAGCTCTGCTGTAACTTCTTGAGCTGTGGTAGTTGGATGTGAGAATTAAATAAACAATATAAGTGACAGTTTATTCTGCAGATGGTCATATCATTATTTGGTTATTAAAGTGACCATGGGTGCAGAACACACCTGGTCATAATGGACAGATGTGGGAGTTTTATTGACAACAAAAGATGAATAATGTAGCTCCTTTTCCTGTTCACTTGGTGTCAGCAAAGGGACCCCAAGATCCAAATTTTGGCATCCCTGGGAAAGGGACAGGTCAAACCACCACTCCAAAACTTGTCAAAGGGACTTTTCTTCAACCCAAAAGTGGACTGGTTGAGGAATTGCTGTGAAATGTTCCAGCCCACGTTAAAATGAAATGCGGCAGCTTTTCTCAGTCCTGCCTGTCTGACTGAAGGGTTGGGACTGGGCAGTTTCGATGGGTGGAAGCAATATTGCTGAAAGAGGACTTTTGAGGAAAGAATATGTCAAAAGCAAGGAGCATCACAACCAGATTAGAGGAACTGCTGGCTGGACTGAAGATCCCCAAACCCAGGAGTTTTCCTTCCTTCCTTCTTTCCTTCCTTCCTTCCTTCCTTCCTTCCTTCCTTCCTTCCTTCCTTCCTTCCTTCCTTCCTTCCTCCCTCCCTCCCTCCCCCTCTCCCTCCCTCCCTCCCTTTTCTTCCTCTCTCCTTCTTTTTCTTTCTTTCTTTTTTTGATGCATCAAAGACAGTGGGACTACCCGAGCACCTTGAAAGGAAAGATGAGACTGGGGACACACAGGTGTGTGTATGTGTGTGTGTGTGTGTGTGTGTGTGTGTGTGCATGCGCGCATGTGTGCATGCAATGCCAGATGAGGGTCTTTGAAAACAGAAGAAGAATAAGAGGAACTGATGATGGGGTGACCACACTGAATTTCAGATCCACCTGCGTGGCTGTTTCCTGAGAGAGTTCTGGAGTCTCAGGCAGATCCTGGGGAGTTGTTGGCTCTGACGCCTTTCCTACCATCTCAAAGGGCCATGATGCCTGATACCAGGAAAAACCCGAGTACAGGAATGGTTCTGGGGTGAACCATGAGCCCCAAGGGTTGGTGAGTATGGCTTCTCTATTAGGCCAGACTGGGGAGTAATCACCCATTAGCCAGAAATCATAACCTAGAGCTGAAGGTGAGTCAGGTGTGTGTGTGTTGTGTGTGTGTGTGTGTGTGTGTGTGTGTTGTGTGTAGCAAATGCCTAACATCTATTTCAGTGTTTGAGGATGCGTGTGGCAGGCTGACACAAAAACAAGGACTCTGAAATTAGATCTCTGTTTTGTTCAGATTTCGACTCTGTTTCCTTCTTGCTGGTTGATGCAAGACAAGTTGCTGTTCTTCTCAAATCTGTCTTCACATCCAAAAACTACAGATAAATAATAATACCTACAGACAATTTTTTAAAAAATAATTAACCAGTATTTTTATTATAGTTTTGTGGGGTACAGTTAATACAGACAATTTTTAACTGTAAAAAGTATATCAGCATTTATCATTTTAACCAGGTTTAAGCTCTACAACCTTCAATTATCCACAGACAGACTTTCTTCCATTAATGAGTGTGGGGTACAGAAGACTTGTCCTTGAGCATCAGGTGATGGGCTGGGAGGAGTTTCCCAGCTCCCAGGAAACTCCCATTACCTTCAAACTGTGGCTGGAGAGTAGATCTGGAAACTACCATGTGGGCTTCTGCTTGCAAACCCTTTTAGTTTTTTATTTTTATTTTTTGAGCCAGGGTCTCACTCTCTTGCCCAGGCTGAAGTGCAGTGGTGTGATCATGGCTTACCACAGCCTCGACCTCCTGAGTTCTGGTGATCTTCCTGCTTCAGCCTCCCAAGTAGCTGGGACTATAGGCATGTGCCACCATGCCAGGTTAATTTTTTTTATTTTTTTGTAGAGACGAGGTATTGCTGTATTGCTCAGGCTAGTCTTGAATTCCTGGATTCAAGCAATCCCCCACCTCGGCCTCCTAAAGTGCTGGGATCACAGGCATGAGCCACCACGCCTGGCCTACAAGTCTTTAAAAATCTTATTCTTGGTATCTTTTTTAAACCACCAGTCCATACAGCTCAGTGCTCTATTCCTTCTGCTTGGAACAATCTTCCCTCCTCTGGCTGCCTGGAAAACTCCTACTTCACCTTCAAAACTCAGCTCCAATGTCTCCTTCTCTGTGAAACTTTCTCTGATCTCATTCCAGGCAGAGTATCATCCCCTGGTTACCCAAATCATCATGCATGCATCTCTCTCTATTGCATGGCTCATCAGACTATTCTGAAATGACTTCAGCAATGCTTGCTTTCCTGCTTAAACTTCAAATTCCATGAGTTCATGGCTAAATTATCTCAACTCCTTTACATCATTGGTTGACTCTGGAAAATGTCCTCAATGAGGCACTCTGTTTCATTTTGGTTGGATTTCACTGTTAGAAAGTTCTTTGTTTGGGTGAACCATACAGATGACCTCACTAACATCTACTTGCTAGTAGTATGACACAGGTGATTCTACTCTGTCCCTCTCATAAAGCCCTCTAGATACCAAGGGCAGCTATCACCTGTCCCAGGAGGCTTCCCTGACCATGCCCTGGGGTGTCTCCAGCTATTTCCTACAGAGTACCCTTCCCACTTCACCTGTGTACTTCCCTATATCACAATGGTCTTGTGTATTAATCTTCTTGTTTGTCATTGGTCTCCTGATGGAGACTGTGGGGTCCAGGGAAGTGGGGACCTTGCCTGGGTATTTCACCTCTGAATGTCTTATGCCCAGCCCAGTGCATGAAAAATTCTGCTGAATGCATGAACGAATGGTAGATGGAGGGCTTGGATGGGATCAGAAAATTGGAAGCCAAATAACTAAAGATGTCCTTGAGGCTGGGCACAGTGGTTCACACCTGTAATCCCAGCACTTTGGGAGGCCGAGGTGGGAGAATTGCTTGAGCCCAGGTTAGAGACCAGCCTGGGAAACACAGCGAGACCTCTTCTCTAAAACAAAAATACAAAAAACTGACTGAGTGTGGTGACACACATCTATAGTCTCAGCTACTTGGGAGGCCGAGGAAGAAGGATCGCTTGAGCCCAGAAGATCGAGGCTGCAGTGAGCTGGGATCACGCTCCAGGACTCCAGCCTGGGTGACAGGGTGAGACCCTGTCTCAAATAAATAAATACTTAAAGAAAAAAAGAAAGGAAGGAAGGAAGGAAGAAAGACAGCCTTGCAGTGAGAAATAACTCCATTGACAGTTTCATGATGAAGAGCTCCGGGGAAGTCCTTGGTAGAATTGACTTGTCCTTAAATGGCCAGCCTTGCTGTTTCTTTCTTTTAATTTTATTTTCTTTATTTTGAAGATGTGGGGTACAGTTCAGGGTTAGCTATACAAATGTTCATTATGCAGTTACCCTTGTTGATGAGGTGTGCCCCTCCCTCCCCTGGCAGTTTTCCTCAACTGCCAATCCCACCCCCTCTTCCCCTGGCAGTTTCCCACTACTACCAATCCCTTTCTTATAGTATTATGATAATTGTTCAAGGTCCGCTTATGAGTGAGAACATGTGGTATTCTGTTCTTTGTTTCTGTGATAGATCACTGAGTATGATACACTCTAAATCCATCTAAGTTGCTGCAAAGTCCACATGTTTGCCCTTCTTTATGGCTGCATAACCTTCCATTGTGTATATGTACCACATTTTGCTGTTTCTTAACCAACCACGATTGGGAGTGGACATTCTGTAGGTCCTGTGTTTCTGATCTAAGAGTGCAAATCCTCTTGGTCCTTGGTCATCTTTCTTGCCTACCTAATTCACTCAATACTTAGGTGAGACATAAAATATTCTACAAATTACCCAGACTGCTACTCTCCTATCCAATGCCAGGTAGTCATTGACAACTCCCCCCGCCAACTCCAGACCATTCAAGCCCCACCCTGCTGTCATAGTGCTTCTACATCTCCTCCTCCTTAGACCTTACACTCTCAACTTGACCCCGGTGCTGGCTTATTGTAGATTTCTCTTTGCTCCAGATTCTCATCCAGAGATAAGGATCTAGGCTCTTCTCTCTGTTTTCTTGCTTGGCTTGTTGCTTCAGCCCTGTCATTCCCTATTTCACCCTCTAGATTTTGGTATCTCACCTCTGCTTTGGCCCCAGGATCACTGTGATGAGGGATATTGAAACCTTCCACTAATGTTATGTGACTCTCTTTGACTTGAACCAAAAAATGTTGACTGCTAGGATCTGTGGGTAGCTCTTGGCTGTGTGTGGCCAAGTTTTTCATCCAGAGATGCAGATTGCATTTGTCCCAACCCATGCCTTTGGCAGACAATGCTAATTGATCAAGGAGCTTATTTCTCCCTCCCTAGTGATTCTAGCTGTGGGCTCATAACTCTTCTCAAGGCAGCATCTCAGGCAGTCACTACCCGTCGATTGGCATATGGGATGAAAGTTATCTGTCAACCCCTTCACCAGCTTCTTGACACATGCCACCTGTTCTTCCTGCAGCTAAAGTGTGCTGTGTAAAGCATGGGAGATGTGAATCGATCAGTGGCCTTAGACTTTATTCTGGTGGGCCTCTTCAGTCGCTCAGGGTCACATCAGCTCCTTTCCTCCCTGGTGGCCACCATGTTTCTCATGGGACTTCTGGGTAACACTATTCTGCTCTTCTCGATCCGCGTGGACTCCCGGCTCCACACACCCATGTATTTTCTGCTCAGCCAGCTCTCCCTGTTTGACGTTGTCTTTCCCTTGGTCACCATCCCCAAGATGGCATCGGACTTTCTGCAGGGAGAAGGTTCTATCTCCTTTGGGGGCTGTGCAGCTCAAATATTCTTCCTGACGTTGATGGGTGTGGCCGAGGGCGTCCTGCTGGCCCTCATGTCTTACGACCGTTACGTTGCCGTGTGCTGCCCCTTGAAGTATACCGTGCTCATGAGACGCCAGGCGTGTCTGCTCATGGTGGCCTGCTCCTGGGTGACAGGTGTGATCAACGCTTCCATCCAGACCTCCCTCACCCTGCACTTTCCCTGCTGTGCTTCCCGCATTGTAGACCACCTCTTCTGTGAGGTGCCGGCTCTGCTGCCTACGAGTTGGCGCTGTCCACCTCGGGGGTGCTGATTCTCGTGCTTCCGCTCTCCCTCCTCGCTGCATCCTACGGCCACGTGTTGCGGGATGTTGTAAGCATGCGCTCAGAGGAGGCTCGCCACAAGGCCTTCACCACTTGCTCCTCGCACATCCCTGTAGTGGGACCCTTTTACGGGGCAGCCGTGTTCATGTACATGGTGCCTGGGGCCTACCACAGCCCAGGCCAGGACAACGTGGTCTCCCTTTTCTACAGCCTTGTCACGCCCACACTCAACCCACTTATCTACAGTCTGAGGAACCGGGAGGTGCGGATGGCTTTGGTTAAAGTGCTCAGCAGAGCTGGGCTCGGGAGAAAGTGTTGACCACACAGGGAACTGCTGGCATGATGCCAGGGGCCCTCCGTCCCACCCATCTTCCCAAAGCATCCATCAGCTGCTAAAGCCTTGTGTCAGAGGTCAAATGTCTGCCCCATTCTTTCCTGTTCATGGCTGGTTGGGTTCATGTTTTCCCTCAAGGACTTGTGGATGACAACGGCAATAGTACCCATCGCGTTTAGTGTATCTTTTCTGTAACGGTGTACTCTCTCTACAAATGGGAGGCTCTACTTTGTAAAGTTGAGGTCTCCTTGTGATTGAATGGATCATTATGCTGTTTACAATGAACATCTATTGACTACTTGATTTATTAAGGCTTTGTTATTTCATCCAAACAACAGCTTTGAAATATGAGGACTATGATGTTTTATGTTAAGTACAGAGACGCAACAGGGGAAATAAAATAACCTACCAATGATTACACTACTAGAAAGTGGTAGAGTTGAGACTTGAACCAATGATCTTCTTATGCCAAAGAGAGTTCCCCCAATCCCTGTGACAGGTGGATAACTGCTGACTGCAATAGGTTAGTGTGTGTGTGTGTGTGTGTGTGTGTGTGTGTGTGTGTGTGTGTGGTGATCGGGCCAGGACAAGTCTTGAAGACTATCAGATTCTGGAAGATATTTGTTACTACTTTGAAGAATGGGGGTCAAACCTAATGATATTTATAAAGTGTTTGTTAAAACTTGGGGTTTACAAATACCACATGTTCTTACTTAAAAGTGGGAGATAAACTCTGGGGACACGTGGACGTAAAGATGGCGACTCCTAAAAGGGGGGAAAGGAGAGAAGCAAGAGTTGCAAAACTACCTGTTGGGTATTGGGTACCATGCTAACTCTTTGGGTGATGGATTCAATGGAAGCCCAATCTCCACCATCATGCAGTATACCTATGTAGCAAGCCTGCACATATGCCCCCTAAATAAAAAAATCGTTTTAAGGTTTATTAAGATGTTTACCACCTGGCTATTTGGTCAATGGCTACTTAATATTTTGGGAATTGTGGTGCTGAATTTAATTTCTTGCTGACAAATTTCCAGCCATTGCACAAGGTTTAACTTAAAAAAAAACACTTTTTATAACTTTATTGAGGTAAGATTGACATGCAATAAACTGTACATGTTTAAAATGTAAAATTTCATGAGCTTTGAGAGGTATATATATATACATATATATATATATCTGTGAAAGAATCACTACAATAAAGGTAGTGAAGTGAATATATACATCATTTTCAAATATTTCTTTGTGTGTTTTTCATCCTTCCCTCCCACCCTCTCCAACCACTGAGCTTCTTATCAGGGTAGATCTTATGACAAGTATTTATACTATTACTATTCCTACTGTCAGGAGTGGGAGAAAACTTTGGGAGGCTATGCATACGGCTATGACCTTGATGATGGTGATGGTTTCACAAGTGTGTATTACCCCCAAACTCATCAGTCACATATATTAAATATATAAAGATTTTGTAAAATTTTAGATTCAGGGAATACATGTGCATGCTTGTTACATGGGTATATTGTGTTATGGTAAGGTTTGGGCTTCTACTGAAGCTGTCACACAGATAGTAAAACTACTTCTCTCTCTCTCTCACACACATATAATATAATATAATATGATATTATTATATATATATTCTACTAATTTTTGACAAAAGCACCAAGAATACACAATGGAGAAAGAAGTGTTTCTTCAGTAAATGGTTTTGGGAAAACTAGGTATCCATATGCAAAAATGAAATTAGACCCTTATCTTACACCATACACAAAAATCAATTCAAAATGTATTAAAGACTTAAATGTAAAACTGGAAACAGAAAAGCCCTAGTATAAAATATAGCAGAGCTGGGCTTGGTGGCTCAGCCTGTAATCCCGTGCCTTGGGAGGCTGAGGTGAGTGGATTGCCTGAGCCCGCGGGTTCGAGA